ACATGAAATCCCAATCAATGTGGTAATTAAAACAGGATTCCATTGATATTTTAGGCTAAGAATTGCCAGAACTTATTAAATTCCTGAAAACAAAACAACTGGAGTGACACACATATTTTTATAAATTGAAAATCTACTGTAATTCTCCTGTCTCAAAGCTTTGCATTTATTGTTTCCTCTGAGCTGGTAATACAAGAGTAATCCCACAGTACCTATGTTTATGATCATTTTTATTGATATAAGAAACTTCTCCCTCCCAGTATTACTGATGTTGTCTCTGTTAGTTGGAATAGCCAAGGGACAGTGCTGTGCTGAAGATAAACTTGCTGGCTGTCTCAGGGGACTGTTTCCTTAAGTAATCAACAGGATATAGGTCTGAGGAGAGAGAGGTCAGTCACCCATCAGTCACTGTCATCAGGCTTACATAAAACTGAAAGCAACCAAGCAAGAGTTGGTTGTTTTTCTAGCTAATGGTAGCCCTTGAAGTGGTTTACAAGTGAAACTGGGCAATAATTGGTTTGACACATTCAATGACAGAATTTACTCATGATCCAAAATGTACATCCAAAGAGTGTAAGATCCAATTTAGACACTTACAAGTCTAACATTTTAGATAACTCTGAACCATTGTGCTTGACATGATTCAAAATCATATTGCAACAGAAGCAAAAAGAAGGAAAACGGGCAAAAAAAGGCAAGAAACCTGACTGACAAAACCAAGAAGGAGACAAACATATACATATAAAGCTTTAGAAATAAATATGTCCTTCCGCACATTAAAAATGTCAGTGGTCGCAGAGTCTCCAAAGGATGTGGGTAATTTATTCCATAGACAATTCAGTGCCTTAAGCCATTGATCTCTATACATTTCAGTCTTTCATCATTTTATTAGTGATATATGGAATAAAATAAGGAGAGAGGTGGGGGAAAGTTGGTGGAACAATGATACTGTGAGATTGTTTCTTGCATGAATGAATGGATCTCATTATATGCTCATATTGAAAAAAAATGTCATTTTAAGCAATTTTTGGAGGTAAAAACTATTTTTCTAAGCCAAGTCATTTAAATACACTGACAACTGTAAATTTTAAGAGAAATCTACAGTATGCACTATTGTGTTTTACATTATTAAAAATCCTAATCTTTTAAAAATATGATATTATAATAGGACATCGCATAACTAGGAATGCATTTTTTCATGTATGTTAATTTTTCATTTTGTAACTCTTCTAGCAATGTTGATCCTACAGGCCTTTGATGTCTAGGAGCAGACAGATCATTAGTGTGACAAGACACTCCTATAATGACCTACTATACATCATGCTAGGCATCACAATTCAGACATGCCACTCTGGCTGTACAGTTCAGGGTAATCGCAGTGACAGCTGAAATATCACCAAAACCTGACACATTCCTCATGGCGATCATATGAATGTAGCTGGAGAATGCCAAAATCCATCTTGTATTTTTCTAAATAAGAAACAGATTCACTCACAAACTCGAATACGTCTCAGGCTTTCATCATGAGTACTAAATATACTGTGAGGCATTAATAACTCAGATAAGTACTGGACCCATACAGTTGTTACTGTATGTTGTGTATATGCTATATACATTCCTATTGTTCCTTAAGCTCAGTTGTTCTCAAACCCCAGTTCGACCTTTTGAGAGGAATAATTGCTGTTAATTCTATTTCAATTTCCTGGGGGCCAGTGGAAGAGAACCCATGTGCATCTCTAAACTTTTAGCTGTTGGGGCATTTTGAATTGCTCTGTGAGGAAGTGCAAACCACAACCAGAAACAACTGGAAGAAACTAAAATAGTAGTCTAGTAGTCTAACATGTTTTTTTTCCATTAATATTAATAGCATTATCTCTTTAATTGTTGCTTTGGTTTTTAGTATTAGCTAGTGGTTGAGGGTGCAAATGCTTTTTATGGGAATAATTTATGCCATTCTGGCTCTGAAATTACTATGCAAATTGTTTTAATTTGATTTTCAGCCACCGATTGCATCAATTTTATCTTAAGTTCCTGATCCTGGGCCTGTAGGTCCACACACCTTAAAGTACAAAATCATATGAAAATGTCGTAGTCTTCTTTAGTAGATCCTGATTCCAGAAAATGTTACTATCAAACAAGATGAATTTTATTTTAAATAATTCAAACATACTTGAATAAAATGTGCATATACGGTACAATAATGGTGATGGGTCTCTTTAAGATCAGAAAATAGAATGTGGTCAAACATTCACAGAAACACAAGTTTTAAACTGGAAGCAGGCCATGTGGTTATTTTCAGTTATTTGTATTGTTTCATCCAAAAATCTCATTAAGATTAGAAGGATTAGAGAAACATCAAGAATGCCAGGTTAACAACTTCCACAGTATTCTATACTAGTTTGCTTCACTCACTGCACTTGTAACTGGCAGGCTACTGTATAAAGGGCTTCAAATGAGAAATCCACCATTTTACTTTAAGAAGTGGTATAAATATAAATATTATATCAATTATAACTCTAAATAAAAGCTAACATTTCTTGCCAAAATCAAAATTGTCTTTACCTTTTTTGTCTTACAGAAGCTATAAATGTGTTTACTACAAGTGTTAAATTTTATTATTCTAAATTACAAATATTAATTATACTGTTAATAAATATAAAACAGCAATGAACAAAGACACGTAAAATTTACATTAACTGAAATCTGGGGATTATGAACAGCCCGAAAATGTAATTCAAACTCGCCTCCCAGCCACAGATCCACAGCTTTACAAGTTTTACAATCCTTCTGACACAGATGTCACATTCGACAGCCAAGTAAGACTCTGCCCTTTGTGCTACTGGCGAGTGGCTTTTCGCAGGCTGCTCAGAGATCATAGCATGCCGGGGTAATTATTCCACTTTATTTGAATGGCAGTTTAGGGAATTACACTGCAGGTCAAAGTTCAAGTATTCCATTAAAAATACATGGATTGTGCCTCATACAAATGTTTGAAGATTATTATGTTATCTCAAATATGGTGCACTTAAACTAGTTTTTGTGGGTGATACCTTGGTTTGATGCCACAAATTTAGCTGATTATGTAGCTTTTGCTCAAACAGGTTTACACCCCTAAGCATGTTGTACATTTCAGATGCTGAAGGGATTGACTCACAGCACATTTTGAAAAGCTGTTACACTATTCCAATACTCGTGACAGAAAGGTGAGTAATTTGAAGGTATGTTGGTATGTTGCATAAGGGTTACAAGAAGGCCTCTTTGATTGATGATACAGATACTGACAAGTCTGAGAAATCATATAGAAACATTTGTCAAAAGCTTCTGTGATTTAGAGGACTTAGAATGTTCCGTTAAGCATATTCAGTCTGTCACTTATTCTTTCCATATACTGTGCTTTGCAAAAGTATTCACTCCCTTCCTACAAGTGTGATTTATCATTTTGTTGAATTGAAAATGATGTGCACACCTTTTCTAAGTGCATACTTCTGAGGAAAAACTAAAATATGTTGATTGCATTCATGCCTTTTGATTTTGATTACAATTTAAGGTTACAATTAGGTATTTCATTTAGTTAATCGAGATAAAAATATATAATCGGTATAGTGTATATAGTTAAGGGAAAGGGTGTTGTTGTCAAGAAACATAATTTGCTCCAGGCTTTGTGAAAGGTATTTTAAGTTTTTAAAACTACAAATCTTGAAAGAGTCAACGAATTTGTAAGAAAGATTTGGTTTTGTTCAACCTGGATGTATGTGTAATAATGTGAAAGGAAAACCAAATGTGTCCCTTCTTCAAAATCACCATCACTGCTGATTCAGCAGTTCACTCCTGCAGTGGTTCTGCCATCAGTGAATCACAGTCATGTCATAGGCTCACTGCTCAAGTCCCTACTGTACATGTGTAGATGTTTCAAATGATCATGGTGTTCTGCAACACAATATGTGCTAGAATTATGCTTCATGTTGTGGTGGTTTACGCCCACAGATACTTCTGTGAATCTCATTTCGCAAATAGGCAATGTGGAGGTACTCCCGCAGTTCTGGGCCACAATAAACTTTAATTGGCCATAATAAAATCAGATAGATCCTAGTAATGCAACACCATCCAGTCTATTTGTCCTCCAGGATGTCACCAATCCTTTACACACTGACACAGTGACGCCCCTTTTGACAACAAGCTCCCATTCACGAAAAATGTGCAACAAGCACTTCTGTTTATTGTGACGTCTTGCACTATACAGTATGTGTAATAACCGTGAATGCAAATTTTAATTTTGCTCTTCTCATAAATCCTGTACAAGATCCATGACCCACAGCATTTTGTTTTTTGTTCTTCTGGGGCCTTTGTTTTATCTACATAATAAATTCCATCAGGACTATGAAAGTCCCCTACTTCAAAATGAATCCTTAGACCATTAAACCTCCAAACAATCAATCCAAAGGCACAAGTAATAAAAGTAATTCACAATGTCAATTGGGTTTTATCAGAATCAATAGGGAAACATGATTCTAGTGTATATGAAACCAGGAATGGGAGTTGAAGCCATGTTGTTGAAGATGATACACTAGCTTCTTTCATTTAAAATGCTGGATGACATCCTTGGATCACATAGCTAAGAGTAACCAAAGCAGTTAGATGAGCAGTATGACATCCTCTAATCTGCACCCTTTTGTATGCTCTTGATAACTTGTATGCAGAAATTATCCTTACATTGCCTTATTGCCTTACAGTACATGCCTTATATTGTTACAAACATGTAACATGGGTCTGTGAAGTGCACAGATTTAAGAAAACTATAACTGTCATAAATCTTATTTGAACAGAAGTCTCTCAGAAGATGTAAATTACTTGTTTCCCACCCATAAAAACAGTACAGTTACTGGCTATTCACCAGTAGGAGTTGTTGTGATAGAGATACTGAGATACTGAGGTAAAAATTAAGATTTTGTTTCTGAATTAGAACTGAATTAGAAGGAGCATTAACACACTAACCCACTTTACACAGTGCACAGTAATTTTATTGTTTAAACAGAAATTTATGGCCAGGGGCCAGGGGTTAAACATGGGGATGTTACACCACACAGGCTGTGTTTAATTGGAATCTCCATTACCCACATCATGAAGTTACCATCTTTAAATACAGTGACTGAAACATTAATAATATATTTCCATAACCCATAAACAAGGAGACACTGCCTGCAGTACTTGTTTCAATATAGTTAACTAGTTGAGTTTTCAAAAGGAAACTTCACAAAGTGCTACTGGACAAATAATTTCTATTCACAGTTTTCCCCACAAATACAACCTAGCCTTTCAAGTCTTTCTTAGAGTGCCTTCAGAAAATATTCACCCCATTTTGATTTAGGAAAGAGATTAAAGAAAAACTGTGTAACACCAACCCTACTATGAAGCATGGTGGTGGCGGTATGATCTTTCAGGGATCTTTTCAGTGTCAGAGACTGGGGCACTTGTCAGAATAGATGGAACAATGAATGGAGCCATATACAGGCAAGTCCTTGAAGTGACCTGCTTCAGTCAGCAAAATATTTAGACTACATGACCACGACCACAAGCATACAGCCAAAGACACACTGGAGTGGCTTCAGAACAAGAAGGTGAATGTCCATGAGTCTCCCAGTCAAAGTCCAGACTTGACTCTCACTGAGAATCTGTGGACGGACATGTCTGTGGTTCAGCAATGCTCAGCATCCAAATCTGCAAGTCAGAATGGGCGAAAATCCTCAAATTTGAAAGTGGAAAGGTGACACAGCTATAGAGAATATACCTACTGTATATATTCTACAGAGTTTTAACTCAGGGGGCTGCATATTTCAGTAAGAAAATATTTCCATTTCTCATCTATTCTGGTTATGCAATAAAAATATTTTCCCCCTCCAAATTGTTGCATATATTGTCTGAATTAATGGGGAAAAAAATAATTTCAGTGCATTAAAAATGATTTTTTCTCTTTGTCTAGGCCCAAGGGCCCCAGGCTCCTGCAGGCCCCGGGTCACACTGTTTATCTTCATTAGGGTACACCACCGGCACAGAGCTCTTCTCGTAGTGCTGGAGCCTGCTGAGAAGATGGTCCACAACCTCTGGGTTCTTCTCAGATATCTCATGTCTTTCTTCTGGGTCAGCCTCAATGTCGAAGAGCATCACATTTTTCAGCGGGGTTACAGGTTTGTGAATCTTGGAACTGTTGCTAAGCTCAGGGGGAGGGAACCAGTAGTCACAGCCTAAAAAGACAGAATAATTTCCATGTCATTTAAAACAATAAGCTTTTTGAATGCTTAAAATGAAGATGTCGGTCTGCTTGGGTAAAGAAATGAAATGAGATGTTTACTGGTAGGAAGAACACCCTTTAACTGTGGAATTAATGACCTCATCAGGGAGACTTTCCTCTTCAAAACATGTCAAGTTATGAAAGTATATTAACAATTACAAAAAAGAGTATTGAGTATTGTGGATTCAATGGTTACATATGATTTTTTCCGGTTTCATTTTGTTCCTTTTTTGGGCCTTATTGGAAACACTGTATGCTAAAACTAGAAGAGATTCAAACAAGGAAGAGCACTCCAAAAAAAAAAGAAAACTAAATCATATTCAGTACACATAATCTGTTGCATGTTTTCACCTGTTTTACATGTCAGACATCTTTATGCCACCCTAGTTCTCTAAAGAGAGGCTTTTTTTCAATTCAAAGGAAAACAGTGTAGAACAAAGTGATTCCTCGAACGGAGTTTGATTGTGACACCCACAACAATAAAAACATCCAATACGCTAACCCCAACTGTTCTCTTCCATTTCTGTTTATTTTGCATTTTCTTTGAAACATCTGTCTCAGAATATTAAACACAAAGCTGTATACATGAGCATCACATTGCATAAACAGAACGTGTAGGATTTTGTGGATCTGAATCACATTAACCAGGCTATGCTTGAGCTTCACACTGCTGTTCCACTTGAAACATCATCTCCTTGATCACCCACATAACAGAAATTATTCCCTTCATCTACCAGTTGTGAAGTAAAGGTTCATTCTTCTATGTTAGAAGAAGGTCAGAAATAACATTCAGAAACTGCCTGCACTCCTTACTCCATGTTTTTTGTATGTACTTAAATAAATACATTCATGGACTTTGAAAGCATGTGAATAACATTCATTTACTTTTATTGACAATGTACAATGCTAATAAAATTAATGCCTTTGTGGTGTTCAGTTTTACTTTGTGGTGTGCTTCAAGCATTTACAAGGCATTGAGGTACTTGTTGTACCTCAGTTACTGTGCTTTGCTAAAGTATTCAATTTGAATCCAACAGAAAATCTTTAGCAAGTCAAGAAAATGTCTGTTCATCAATGATCCCCAAAACAACCTGATAGAATTTGAGCAGGTTTGCAAAGACGAATGGGTGAAAATAAAACTATTCTGGTGGCTGAAGTTGTTAAGAGACATACTGTATCCTAAATATGTATTATTGCTTCCAAAGGTGTTGCATACACCAAGTCTAGACATAGGGGGAATATCAACATTTTAGTTTGGATTTTTTTCAACAGTTGTTCGTGAAAAGTAATTACATACTAGTCTTTATCTCCTGTATGGTTGGTAAATTTTGAACATTATCAGCCAAGGTAAGGATATAGCAAATGAATAGTCTGTACAGTACCTGGGTATCCTGTTAGCAGTTTCCAGTTCTGATAGCGTATGGCAGCATGAATTGAAACATTGAATCTAGAGTTACTCCACATGCCTTGACCAAGATTTGATGCCAAAGTCAATTCGGAGACTCTGCCAGGACCTGCAGAAAAGCCAGAAACAGCTGACAATCTATAGTCCATATTCCTTCCAACATTTGAGTTGAATGTGAGATTGCTTAGATATTCCCAAACAAACAACATCACGTAGATAAGGATGAAATAAAACGCCCATTGAACAGAGGCTTTGCAGAAAGTAAACTGACACGATCCGAGGCTTTAACAAATGACCTTAAGGGAAGAAACTCCTATACAAATTCAATAATTAATAAATTGTCTCTACATGTCTCAGAAGGCTCTGATGGCCTGGGGTAAGTCTGTACATCATTAACATAAACATGACACAAAAGAACTATTTATTTCATATAGAGAAGGCAGGGAAGCTGCCAGAAGGGAGTTTTATAAAAGATGACACAGGAATTTCAGTAAAGAAACAACACTTTTACTAATCCTACATTCATTCATATTATAAGAGTTTTAAGCCATCTATTATTTTCTAAAAGTGTTTTTCATACACAAGAAAATAGTATTATGTTTTAAACCTTATTATCAGACATCTTAGGTTGTCTGAATATTTAGGGAACTGTTAAATATATATTTATACATTGATAAGATAAATGCATGATAAAGCAAAAATGGTTAATAATTGGGAACTGAAAAGATACATATCATGTATTGTACTACAGAGAAAAACTGAAATAAGAGTGATGAATATCCCTTTTTGAAATCCCTTTCATAATCTAGAAATTTTGTTCATCAACACACAAAATGAAGGGATATTTTGCTGAATTTAAAAGCTCTTTAGTTATTATGCAAAGAACAAAATGAACTTGGTAAAATATGCATCTGAAATTGTGAAATTGTGAAAATTCATTGCTAATCATTTTGGCAAACCCAGATACAGGATGCCAGAATAGATTTTTGGCATGTCTCAGGGAAAACACACAAAATTAAGTTGTGAGGTAAGAACAGTTCTATTTAATTTACAGTGTGAGGAAAATATAACTAAACCACAAAACAAAAAATCCTGGTCCTGTCTGAGCTCTAACTATATTCCTATCTCTTTCTATGAGCAGTTTTACTAATGAGTCCTCTGGCCCAGAACACCACTTATACCAACAACCTGCAGAAATCTCCCATCCCAGTACTGACCAAGCCCAGCTGATCTTAGCTTTTGATGGAAGTATCTGGCTACAAGGTGGCAGATTATACAAGGTTATACAGTATTACCAGGGTCTTTTAAATTATATATATAGATGTTTCATTAAACCATAAACTATGATATTTCAGAGGAGGCCTGTCTTGTAATGCAGATCTGAGAAACTAATAATTTTTTGAATAATGATGCACAGGCTGGGGCGCCATGCAGTGGTGCAGTAGTTAGCATTGCTGCCTCACAACACTGGGGCCCTGGGCTCAATTCCTGGGGTGCTATATGTGTGGAGTTTGTATGTTCTTCCCAGTGTTTGTTTGGGTTTCCTCCAGGAGTTCTGGGTTCCTCCCACAGTCCAAGGAGATAGGTTAATAGGCTTTTGGGAAGACTGGCCCTGGTGAGAGTGTGTGTGTTTGTGTCTGTGTGTGTCTTGTGATGGACTAGTTTCCCATCCAGAGTGTATCCTGCCTTGCACCCCTTGCTTGCTGATGGGATATTACAACAACAATGTATTGGCAGTAATGTATAGGCTCTTTTCAAAAGGGCAACTGCTAGAGTGAGGCTGTACCTCCAAAAACATGTACAGTACCACAGTAAAATCGAGCACAGAGGTATCATCAAGCATCTAGTCAAGGACAGTGATACAGCTGCTGAAATGAACCATTGAATTATGGATGTGTATGGAGATGGAGTGCCCAAATACTGAACTGTACTAAACCAGACAGTCGTATGACAAACACAGACATGAGTCTTTCAAAGATGATCCAGAGTCTGTAGTCCCTTCAGATTTTATCAAGGACTATTAGATTGCAGGTCTAAAACTGGATTGTCACATCCAAGTAGAAGAGGTGGCAACTGAGGTTGGAATCTCACAGTGGACCTGAATGTTTTCTCAACAAGAGCATCACCATTTTCTATGCCAAAAAGCACTGTCTTCATTTCATCTAACCATAAGGATTGGATTCAATTGTCAGTGATATGTTTGGCAAATATGAGTCACCTTTTTTTGTATTAGAAATCAGGAAAAGGCTTCATCCCTGCAACTCAGCCGTGAACATTCACACAGGCTCGGCTGAATGAAGCTGGAGATCTACAGCTCTTTGCCATTAGATTCATGGTTCCCTTCTTTAGCACATGAACACTTGTTCACAGCCTGTGCTTCCTCTTCCTGGCTTCAACTATACTTGTTCCCTTAAATTTCTTAATAATTGACACTACAACAGAAAGTGTCAGGTTTTTGTGGATTTTTATAGCCGTGCATTCTTCAGAGTGCTCCATGACCTAAACCATGAAGATCAACATTACTACTGTTAATGTTACCCCTTTATAACCTCCAGAGAAACACCGTCGGAGGCCTCTATACAGTTCTGATGGCTTTCATTACATTTCCATAGAGCAGAATCAACCTTGTGTTTTTTTAAGAATTCAGTTTACTATTTATGACCAACATGACTCTGCTCTGGATCATGCTATTATTATAGTACAGTATTTTTAGAACTCATTTTATTATGTGATGTAGTTTTTTTTTAATATCATTGCATGTGTGAATCTGGCAGGCACTATAAACAGTCTTTATAAAAGGTTGAAAAATCACAACAGTTCATATCCAGATTGCTACAGAATATGAGGGAATGTAATACCTCAATTCTCAGGTGCAATACCTCATTTCTGAGGTGTAATACCTCATATCTCATTGTCAACACCTAATTTATTTTACAGACACATATTTACAGGTACTTAAAGCCCATTAAATGGCTTGAAAACTTTCCAGACACAGTCACATACAAACCCAGGTGCTGGATCCAAATATTAATGAGTAAGAATAGTGCTATCAGGTTTTATTAACTCTCTTTACTGTGCTTACTAGTTGCTTGGGCAAATGTGTTTGTATCAAAATAATTACCTGCTATTACACCACATATGGTCTCCATAATTTCTGCCCGATGAACCTTTTCATAGCTTTGTCATATATTTGCATTTATTAAAAACAGACAGCCGTTAAGAAATTGAACTATAGTCAGTTCAAATGACTATAAAGTTCAGGACTTTTCTCATGTAGTGAAAACAAACATAATCCTAACACTTTGAAGCATCTGGACTCAACTTTTCCAATGAAGAGATAATAGATGGGATAGGGAATTTGAATTGGGAACAATCCAACACCCAACTCAGACATGTTAACCACTCCTCATCCAATCTAAGAAGTCTGATCTGAAATGTCAGAAAGAGAAATGAACAGAACGGCTCCTTTTGGGTTGGTAGAGTTTTTACCCTTGCAAGGTTTCTTAGCTATAATCTATGAAATCTGATCCCTGGATGTGATTCTGGATTTCCCTGAAGAAGCCCTGTGGGTTTACAAGTAATTGCCACTTAGAGAGGAAACCCAAGTCAGGTATGTACAGTACTTCACCAAATAAATTTAAGCATGTAAAAGTGGTACAAAGGCACACATACAAAACAGGAAAACAAAACGACACTTTCTGATTTTTGACAGCATACTGTATACAATATAGGATGTTTAATGTGCTACCCACTATTGTCTTTACTAATATTAATCAATAAGTACAAACTTACTGATGATTCTCATTAACTTCTAACTATTTAGTTAGGAAACAGTGAAGTGCTTTTAAGCAGTGTATAATCAAAATGTACAGCATTATATGAAAGGAATTGTCTTCCATTTTTAATATAACAAATAAAATGAATGCTAAAAAATAAATATCTGATTCAATTTTGCTGACACTGTATTTTGCTATTTTTTTACTAGGGGGTTTATGCTGAACTGCAAACTATAGACTTATTTGATTTGGTTTAGAAATACAATAAAATACAGTTGCTTGCCATGTAGCACAGCCATATATAGTCCTTTGCATTAAATCAAGAAAAGGAAAAGGTAACAGGAAGAATAGGGCAAAGGGTCTGTTAAACCATTTTCACCAGCTAATATAGCTGCCCAGAGCCAATCAGACTCAGTTTCAGAAACTTCTTCCAATATCATCAAAAGAGAAGCCACTTTATAACTCGGAGAGGCACTAACTAAAAGCATGTGCTCTAGTAAAACAGTTCCACTTTTAACCACTTAAAGGAATAAAATACTGAAAGCCACAAAATGAGGAGTACTTCAGATCCAAGCTGAAGTTCTGTTTGTTTTAATTATTTTTTATTTTGCCTGTCTGATTGATCTTTTTCACACTGTAAACAGCAGGTTATAAATCAAGCTTCTACCGTGCACCACCCCATCTCCATCTTCATGTTTATTCTTTTGTTCTAATGTCATAGATAAAAGTGGCAATTACTGTAACAAACCATTATCACAGTCATGATAATAGCTGTAATACTATATTACAGCTATTATTAATGGTAGTTAAACCACAGACCTCTTCAGATGTATTGCTGAACCCTGGGTGCTTCACTGTTTAATAGTGATCTTCAACACATTAAAGGCTAAAGACTGAAACTAATGATAATTTTGACCAGTTGGGCATCAAGCACAGGTTAAAACGAGAAAGAACCAGGAGAATGTAGGCCTCTTTGCCACACTGGCCAACCTATTCCAGAAGGATGGCTCTCACCCTGGGAGCTCCTCTCAGCTCACTGGGGGGTCTGATCAGGAAGTGGCATCACTGTGTGTTGAGGACCAACATGGCTGTGTATGAATGGACTCAGATGGGACCAGAGAAAATATTAGCAACCTGAGGCGATACGGCAAATAAAAATAATCACACAGATGTATCATTCTTTCTAAAAAAAGGCATAGACCCTACAGAGGCCCCATTTCCATGTATGTTAGCTATTATTCAATTGCTTTTGTTTGCTTTCAAACAACAGTGTCCAATCTGTTTGTTGAAAATGCTTAGATCACCATCATGTTGTATGAAATAAATGAGACTG